TACCAGGGTATATTTTTCCTTTCAAAATTTTGAACGTGATATATGTCTCTTGGTCTGTTTAGAGTTTTATCACATGTCCATTTGGAATAGAATATGTTGGTAAGAATTCGGTTGCATCATGATAGTGCTCTTGTATTGCTTTTATTCAGGCCTAGTAATGGTCACATTCGGTATATGTGATTCGATAGTTAGTCTTCTTGTTGGCTTTGTCCATAAACGTATCGGACGACTACCGTGTATATTGGTTGCTGCGTTGTTTAGCTATGGCCTATTCGGAGCATTGCTCAAATGGCAACCGACACAAATGTATCCTGTGTTCATTATAGGTGGTCTATTCGGAGTTGCTGATGCCATATTTGATCCGATCATAACGGGTCAGTTTTGTATGCCTTTGGTATTGCATTTATACATTTTTGTTTGTGTTTCAGCTATCTACGGTACTATATTTTCGAAATCACTTGAGCCAGCCTATGCTACGAATAGTGTGTGTCAACAGTTAGGCTTTATGATAATATTTCTCTACGCATCTTTATTGAAAGTGCAAGTGTCGATTATTCTGCAGATTATTTACTTGACTATTGCTATGACAGGTTATCTACTTATGGAATATATTGAACGAAAAAAACCAAAAGATAGCGATGACGACGACAAAACTAATACAATGAGCGAACAATATTGATATAGTTTTCTGTTTTTACACACACTAAATAGCATCAGTATCGAATGAGGCATCGCTAATATATATTTTATATTATTCGAATGTCAATACGAAGGAAACTTCAAGCAGAAAAGTCTGTTTCTGAAATTGAAGTAATGGAGATCTTAAAAATATAAGGTTTTTTATCAGCTTTTTTTGCTTGTCCGACCGATATATAATCAAAGTTATAGTAAAGAAAGAACAATAAAAACAACTTTTATCATCAGCGGATATTTTCACAAGCTTAGGTTTTATCTGGAGAGAAAAGTACTCTGGTTACGTCTACACCGTCTCTCCGCCATTCATTCAGCAGCGTCCACTGGGAAGATTTCGCTATGCACATGATGTTGAAGAGATTGTTCAAAAATACATGGAAATTTTATTTAAATTATCTTAAAATATCATTCATATAAATTTTCTAGTTTATACACTATTTTACGACTTACTTTATAATAAAGCTGACGAGCAATATGTACTTTTAAAAAATAATTCAAACTATTATATTTACTAATAAATTCATGTTTCTTTTAAGTCAACTTAATAAATAATGCAACTCATATACCCAAAAAATAGTTTAACTCCCACTCATCAGACATACAAAAAAAAGTTAAATATTTCTAGTTATAAAATTAGTAGGAAATCTAATTAAGATACAAGTTTATTTATTAGGTACCCTTCGTAAGATACAATAAGTAAGCAAAAAATATCACTCAGGTTTAATATGCTCGGGGGTTTTTAAAGAATCTACAAATAAAAAATTCTCTGAATCTATAAAAGTATAAGGTAATAATAAGAATATTGATTAAAAAAAATACTATTGTAACTATAGAAACTCCATCTTTTAAGTATAAAATCAATGAAACTCAGTTTTATCTAATTTAGTAGATGCCCCCAAAGGATTTCTACTCCCACCATCATGAACAAACAATAAGTGTAAAATACTTAAAAATAAAATTACAAACGGAAACAAATAATGAAGAACAAAAAACGAGAAAGAAGAGGTCCTGCAACACTAGATGCCCCTCACATCCATTCTACTAAATCTAAACCAATATAAGAAACTACTATTGATAAATCGCTACAAATTTAATGTTCAGTAAAATTTGTTCAATGTTATATACAGATTTTCAGTAAAGAAATCAAACTATCAGTATAAAATTCAATGTTTTTACTACTATGACATTTCGTACCACATTTTACTTTTTTGGTTTTACATGAACAATGTTTCGTGGCACATTGACCCTTTCCAGTGTAGTGTAAATTAGAATAATCTGTATGATTTTTACTTCTAGTGGTATTCGGAATTCCCCTGTAGTGAAAATTGGAATTCCAATTTTCACTAGTGGAATTCCCAATTTGCCGTGCATTCCAATTCGCACTGCCATATACACATCAATTTTGAGAATAAAATGAGTAACAGAAAGTCTAACAATAATGATGGTTTAGTCAAAGCAGAAACGGGTTCTGCTCAAGCTTCGGCATCGGAGACAATTAATTCAGATTTCGTGATTGCGCTGTTATTGTTAAAACATGTTTACAATTTATAAGTAAATTAAGATGAAAAGTATTAGGAACTGAACATGCCAAAATCAAACTTGACCGAGAAAACGTAAGTTTTATTCTATTAAGTTTTTCTTCTGCATGTTAAAGTGAGATCACATAAAGTTCTTGAACCTGCAGATACTTTCCTATTTTTGAAGTCAAATATCGACAACGAATAACTAATATGTATGACTTAGTGTAAAGTTCTATCGAGACTCGGTAATACTGATGCAAGATCAAGATACGATACATGAAATACTTTCTCCTCTCTTCTTCTTATGCGTCGGCGAACCACTAATGGATGATTAGATTTCTAGAGACTTTCTGCGAAAATCCTGCGTTTCGTTTGATAAAAATGCGGGTTTTTACACTTTCTGTACGATATCACCAAGAGATAATTTCTGAGATGTGTTAGAAGAACGTGCAAGATTGTTTCGTTTTTCGCGAGATGTTCTCGATTCTTTTTAGCGAGCCCTTTATATTTCTAAAATAAATATTTTCAGTCGAATAGTATCATTTTTATTTTAATACTAACTCTCACTATTTCATTTCCTTCTCTTACCTGTTTTTCTAATGGCTAGTTTTGCCTCCATTTCTTCTTAGATTTACAATAATGTCAAGACCATGTTCGGGTAAAATCTATAATCCAGCCAGAATTTGAAAATGTGAATGAAGCATACGAACGAGCACCAGTTTACATGTATAAAGTAAGTTACAACATTCCTTCGCAATATCATCGCATCAAATGCAATTAGTTTTCCTATCAAATCAGCTAATAACACGTTCCACTATTATTAATATTCTCGAATTTTTCATATATTTAGATGCCACGAATATGGGTTAAATTATTGTGAATTTTAATGGACCAATGTAAAGTAACACGAACACGAAAAGTGTTTGACCATTCGTTACGAGTATTACCAATAACACAACATAAAAAAATATGGCCATTGTATATTAAATTTGTTACACAACATCATATACCCGATACAGCAAACGAAGTATATAAAAGATATTTAAAAGTAAGTGGCCCATTCTTCGTACGAATAATAAAAGCTTCTCATACCTTTTTATCATACTACAAGTGAGTGCATCATGTCTTGGCGTGTCGGTTGATCTTCAACTAAATCATTTTATAGGTTAAGATCAATTAAACAGTTATCGTATTATATCAACATCGCTTTTGTTAAACGATAGTATGAGCAAAGTTTTGCAGAGATGTCCGTTTTTTGTAAAACTACTAAATTTGAAAGTAAGCGGCACTGTAGGCAAGCGATAGACATACTTAGATAGAATTTATGGAATTTACGAATTTTGGAATTTATGAACTTCTGAATTTTGTTGTAGCATATAATTTGGAATTTATAAAGGATATAAGAATTTCTGAATTTTGGAGTGTAGTAACCTCTGAGTTTTGGATTTTATAGAATTTACGAACTTTAGAACTTTGGAATTTATGAACTTCTGAATTTTGGAATTTATAGAATTTACGAACTTCTGAATGCTCGAATTTATAGAATTTGCGAACTTTGGAACTTTGGAATTCACGAACTTCGTAAATTCTATAAATTCCAAAATTCAGAAGTTCATAAATTCCAAAGTTCTAAAGTTCATAAATTCCAAAATTCAGAAGTTTATAAACTCCATAGTTCCAAAGTTCGCAAATTCTATAAATTCAAGCATTCAGAAGTTCATAAATTCCAAATCCATCGCAAATTCTGTAAATTCCGTAAGTTCCGAAATTCTGAAATAGTGTGGTTGTAAGGTTGATACGGAGTACATTGACTGGTTGGTGCTGCTGCGGAATTCTCAAATTTAGAATTTTCGGTGTTGACGGACATTCCTCAAGTTTTGATCATATATGATCTGGGTTGTGAATGATCCTCTTTGTCGTCTTTTCTCATCATTTTTCCGTCGTCAGTTTTGTTTCTCTGTAGCTAAAAGTGAAGATTATTCGTGTAGACTAAGTACGATGTGTGAGTTTTATATTTTCGTAGTACTTCTCACAGACTGTGCGAAATATTTACCAACAACATTCAAGTTTTCCAAATTTTAAAAATTTCATTCATATAATTTTTTTAACATATAAATTCAAAAGTTTCGACAAATTAAGTTAGGTATTTGTTTAGATTTTAATTCTCTTTCAAGTGACCTATTACGCAAAATATTTGATTAAATGTTATATGATGAGACATCACATGATTTTCAATGGCATCAATACACTACGAGTCCATATACAGAGTTTTGCTTTGTTGATAAATAATATGAAAATATGTGTCTAAAATATGATAATACTTTCGCTGAATTAAGAAAATTTTTCCAGTAACTTTTGAATATTTTAGTATCAAATCAGAATTGTTTTGCCTTGATGTTTGTTGAGGTTTCTTTACCACCGAAGACGTACCGACAAACTGACCATAATAAAAATAGAAACAAAGAAGTTAAGGTTAAGGTAATTAGAATCCATGTTAATTGAATATCTAAACCAGAAGCTATAAAGTATGATAAGCGATTATCATATGTAACTAAATATTCATAGCCAGTTAATAACCAGTTATCAATTAACAAAGCGACTGTGGAAGCACCACCACTTAATTCACTTAATTGATGCATTTTAGTTAATTGTTTAAGAATAGTGGAATAATTAATAGGATCAATTATATAATGAATCTTTTGTGCAATTTCTAACGATGTAATTGTATCTCGATGAATAACTAATCCTAGTTGAATTTTAGGTACCACAAACAAAACGTAACCATTCATTATTAACCACTCTCACTCTTATATAGTTCTCATACACATAGAAAGAACATTTTAAATCCGTTTTAATATTAGAATTCATCAACATTTCGTTATTTTAACGTAATAGATTTTAATTTTTTGTTTTTATTTGTATACTTTTAGGCAAGAATGAAAAACATTCAGTTACTTTTGTGGTTTGTAAACTACTTTTTAGTTTTTTCAGATTCTAATCAATCAATCGATCTATGTATAAAAACGCAATGTCTACTGCCATTAAGCATAGTCATCCAAGACGTTGGCATTACTTACATTTGAATCGTTTGGAATTAGGGGATACTACAGAATCTGATACAATCATCTAATATTTAATCATCACAACGCGAAAAACTAGTAGACGAACTTCCCTCGGCAAAAAAAAATCGTCAAATCTTATAAGAATCTTACTCAATTCTTATATAACATCTTCCACGAAAGTGATAAGAGTTCTGCTGAATCTTATAAGAATTTCACAAGAATTCATCAGAAATTGGTAAGAATCAGCAAAACTCGAACGTTATTCTTATAAGATTCTTATGGGAAGCATGATCGACTTTCCTACAGAAAAATCCCAGTATAGTACCAGCACTACCGGTGCGGACGGCATGTTATGTTGCACCGGTACGTACTAGTTCCACATTTTTCTAGTCACCGTATGTTATCTATGATTGCACTATGTTTTACTCGGACTTTCTTCGAGAACCATATCAAAATTTGGCGCCTTTTTTCCAAGGGGGTTGCCAGAGAAATTTTTGCGGGATCGTGTAGCCCATGGTCGATTTAGTGATACGCCATATTTATCTCAAATGGGTCCTTCCGATTTCTGTGGAAAAAAATCAAAAGATCCGTGCAGGATTCGAACCGGCGACGTAAAAATGCACTTTCTTTGCACTAAACCGCTGTGCTACGGATCTATACTGATTCTCTCTTGTTATATCAAGTATAGATGAAGAAAAACAATGGGAAAAAATTGTTAATGTTTTTCGACCGTAACTTTTTTCCTAGAAGATTGCCGAAGAGGATTTTGATAGCTCTCAGTGCGTGCTACAAACCTGAGGTGATAAGAAAACTTAAGCTCAGCTGTTTTCGTTTTTGTGACAGAAACCGTTTTTGCCAGCAGACAAAATTTTAAGGCACTTTTCGATATCTTTGCCGTATTTTCGTGAAATCCTACAGAAATACAATTTCTTTCACAAGTGACCACCTTTCGCTTCTAAACACTTTCGTATTCGTTCTGGCATTGATTCGACCAACTTGATGCATAAATCGATATCAATGTTGTCTCATTCCTCCTGAAGACAATTGATCAAGGCTCCTTTGGAATAAATCGGTTTCGAAGCCAGTTTTTTGTCCAAAATGGACCCCAGCATCTCTATCGGGTTGAGGTCTGGACTTTTAGGGGCCCAGCCGAATACTTTCAATTTCAATTTGGCAATTTTATCTTTCACTATATTTGATATATGCCATGGAGCCAGGTCTTGTTGGAAGATTATTTCGGTTTTATTCGGTATTTTTGTCATGGATTGCTTTAGTTCTTTCTGCAAAACATCACAATATAATTGACCATTCATATTTTGCGTGTAAATCTTAGCAGCGGTTGTACCGAAACCCTAGATGCCACCCCAAATGCCAACCTTCCCCCCATTACCGGTATTGGTTTGTTCTAAACATTCCGGAAGAAGTTTCTCTTTTTCCAGACGCCATATTTTGTATTGATTTTTTCTTTTTAATATATAAAACGTCGATTCGTCTGAAAAAATCACCTTCCGCCAGTCATCATGTGTCCAGCTCAAATGTTGTGTGCACCAGACAACACGCTGTTGCCGATGTCGGACACTTAATCACTGTTTCTTGATTTTCACTACGTACTGAAAGCCAAGATCTTTCAAATATCGGCGTACTGTTCCTATTGTAACCGGTTTTGGTAAGCTGCTGTTCAAGTCCGATGCTATTTTCGCAGCGCTGAGGCGGGAATCTCCTTGGACCAATTTTTTCAAATGCCGAACTTCACGATCAGAAAGTTTTTTTGGACGTCCGGTGTGTTTCAGATCATCATATCGACCTAGTTCTTCATACTTTTTGATCGCATATTGAACACAACATCTTGAGATCTTTAGTTGTTTTGAAATTTGAACCTGGTTGAGACCGGCACGATGTAAGGCCACCGCCTGAGCCCGGATAACTGGATCAATAGGCTTTTTCCCATAAGAGGTTTTGATAATAATAAGATAAGCAAAATATATCTAAAGAATTGCAACAATATTATCTTTCATATTTTTTTCGAAAATAAAGTAAAGATATCGAAAAGTGCCTTAAAATTTTGTCCGCTGGCAAAAACGATTTCTGTCACAAAAACGAAAACACTTGAGCTTAAGTTTTCTTATCACTTCAGGACACCGTTCATTTCCACACTATTCAACCATGGAATTTGTCGCCGTTCGGCTGCTCTTCATTTTGACAGTCAGTTTTCGACACTGTCGAATTTCGAGCGAAACATTTCAAACAGACTAGAAATTCGACAGATTTTTCGCTCCACTTCTCTACTAGAGAAGCAAAAGCGTAAGCACACAGAGCCGTAGTCAATTCGTGCATCTTTACGTTACTATGTCTCTTGGAGTTCGGAATGACGAAAATCAATGAAATATACCAGAAAACGTGGAATGAAATTTGTCCTGAATTCTGTAACGAAGTCTAATAGTCGCGTTTAAAAGATTGAACAGAGAAATTTTGACTGGAGATCGAAATGAGGATGTCTGGAAGTTCGTAATGACAAAGACAATGAGGTCGCAAGGAAAACTACAGGGTGATCGGAATGAAAAAGACAGGATGCTCGTAACTATGTTCAAGTTTGCACACCTTTCAGAGAATGTGAATTGAACACGCTAGTCTTGCACTCTAAGGCAGCAGTCAAAATTGCTCATCTTTTTACTGTTCTAATTCTAGTATTATTTAACGGCGTGTTAAAGTTAATTTCTGAACACCCGGTTACATGTCCGGAGTTCGGAATGATCTAAAGAGAAAGCTAGGCCACCAGCTTTTATGTCATTAAGCTTTCACGTCTTTACCATTTTACGAAGTTGGAAATCATCTAAAAATGTACTGCATGATATATCGTAGATCGTGGTCTTTCCGCGAAACTACATTTTCTTTCTTTCGTTTCATTTTTCGTGCTTCAGGCAGTGGTGCTACTTTCTTTCCGACGTTTACATCATTTTGTAATCTAACGCTACAGACTATTCAAAATGCGACTATTCAAATGTCGTTTAGATCATAAGTTATTTCGATTTTATATATGATAATTTAGTTACAGCGGTGCTTACATCTGGATTAGCCTTGATTATGTCTTTAATCGTCATCTACATGATCAATCCATACCGGATTATCTCGCATTTAAGCTGTTGGTATGAATCATTTGTTGTGATATCGCATTATCGGGATATAGAAACATCTCAGGTTGGTTAAAAATGTTCTAGCATAGTCCATGAGTCGTATTCGATCAGACGCTACACAACAGGGATGGCATATAACTGTAACTCATGCATTACATTACTGAGGAGAATAATACTAAACAATACTAGTAACAATAATCGTATAATACTTCCAGTAATAGTAATGCTAAAAGGTATTATTTATATCTTCGCGTAGGTCCGGCTGGTAGATGTTATATCAAAGACCTGATTTTATATTGTTATATGAAACGATGTTGTCAGTCTATTTGATTGATGCATGTTGTTATGGCCTGCCTTTTGTTGAATGACGAGCAACCATTTTTCAATACAGATGCTAGCTCACCTCTCAATACCACATCCGCGTCTAACCAGGGGGCCTCGTGAACTATCACATCGCTTTTTCAGCCAAACCTTATAGGTTTTCAACTATGCTAAATTCGAATATCATAGTGGTAGCTGCTCAGGGACCTTTTGAAAGCGGTTTTCTAAAAAACCAGTTTTTCAGAAACTATAAAAAGTAACCAAAGCCCTTCTTAATGAGTCATAATTGTAGCCCGCAAATTTGTGAATGAGACATCTCCCAGCTCCACATGACGTTTCTTTGCAAAGCTATCGAATTGACAAGAGAAGTCCTAATTCAATTTCTTCTTATTTCTGTAGCTTTGACCTGACAGTGAACATGTAGGACTTTTCTTGTAGGTTCGATAACTTTGCAAAGAAAGGTCGTGTGAAGCTGGGAGATGTCTCAACTTAATCTCAAATTTGCGGGCTACAACCAAGACTCATTAAGAAGGGCTTTGGTTACTTTTTATAGTTTCTGAAAAACTGGTTTTCAGAAAACCGCTCTCTGAAGGCCCTGAGCAGCCCCCACTATGATATTCAGATTCAGCATAGTTGATACCCTATAACTCACTAGGTTTGGCTGAAAATGCGATGTGACAGGTCGCGAGGTTCCCGCGTAAGTTCATAAAATAGCGTATTCGACACTTGTCCCAAATAGCAGATGTCTCGATGTTCGGCATGTGTCTTTTCAGATCTATTTTGAAATAGTTAAAGTTGTATAGAATGAGCAAATTCAAGAAATGTGCGGATAAGCAAACGAAACAGATACGGATAAACGACATTCGAACTAATCCAATGGATCTATGTATCTAGCTTATATAAAGATTGTTAAACGAACGAAATTTACTAACTTTTCATCTGCACATTTTATTTTCAATATAGATATACTTATATAAACTAATTCAAATTTAGGATTCGCAAGCGAAACGAAACAGTGGAACGCAGAAGCTTTTACTCTGTAGTATAGAGATAGTGCTAATTGATACCCAGAGATTTAAAAGGCTTTAGTTAAATAAACAATTTTCTTGTTCAGTTCAAAGGAAAAAAGCTACAGCTACCAAATCTGTTACGAGGATTTTTGTAAAGATTTCGTCACTATGTTTATAACTATCATAGATTTATTGAGCTCGATTACTGATTAGTTCAAAAGGCATAAGTATCCGGCACAGTATGCTGAAAAAATTAACTAATTCGGACACAAACTTGTTTGACTAACGTATTAGCTGAAACAACAATAGTACCTTAAAAAACGGGCTCAAAAAAAGTACCCCGAGTAAAAGTAAAACTTTTTTTTAAAAAAATGTAATATACTTTATAAATTTAAAAACTGTACAATTGCGGAGATAGCTGCGTCTGATTGCTCCACTAAAAAACTATGATTTGCATTTGGTATAATGACCAAGGTTGAGTTTTGATTATATAGTTTGTGGTAACGGTGTGCATCTGAAATATCGATCATTGTGTCTTTATCACCCCAGAGGATTAATATTTTCGGACATTTTTCATCACTGTTTATTTTTTGTGCAATTGTTTGTATTGTATCCCATGGAAAATGAATTAATGACGAATATAATGATCTCAAATAGCCTTTATGTTGACGGTAACATTGTCTAAAATTTTCACTATACAATTGCAATAATTCACTGTTAGAATCGATCCATTGTAATTTTGCACTTTTTTCTAAATTTAAAAAAACTTTTAAATATGGCGTCTATGGCCCGGGACTTGAGTTCAAAAGGTGTGAGCTTTAACATCTTGAAATAATATCTCAAAATGTTTGCTCAAAACAGCGACAATTTGATATCATAGTACTTACTATCCGATGCAGAAGGCTATTGGACGTATGTTATTAGGAGATAATAGACTTACCTAAAAATGGAATGGATTTTTTGAAGACAACCGGTCCGATTATAGGTAATGATAGTAAAAGTGCTTTGATTCCTGTTGGACGATTCACACTGAGTCCAGCTGGACAACATAAGATCAATTTTGATACTTTTTCCGGATATAGTTTTGTAAACAATTGAACAATAACTCCACCCATACTCACACCATATAAATTAAATGATTTATCAGTAATGTTTAATGAATATAACAATTCTACAATTTGATTAACGAATAATTCAGCATTCATTTTTATATCAGGTGAATCAGACCAGCCTAGAAATAGAAATACATTGTTCAAAACAAAATAAGACATACAAGACAGCGTTTAAAGTAAAACCTTGAGAAATCGTAGCATTTACTTACTAAAGCATCTGTTAGGAAGAAGCCTCCTTCTAACTGCTCACTTTTGACGTTAGATGATTTTTTTTTTTTTAATGTATAACATAAAATATTTCTAATAGACTTTTACTAAATGAGCGAGAAATGGCAACACTCGCTCAATCTTTCTCCTGATTTTTGTGGTTAAAATGCGTACCTCGTCCATATAAATCAAATACTAAACATCGTTGTCCTTGTTTATGTAAAGCTGTGGCTACATCACGCCATAAGTCCATTCCCGTCGAAAACCCATGAACAAAAACATTTAACGGACTGTTTTTTGTTATATTCGTGTTTAGATAAGTATATCGCACAACTCCGAATGATAAACGGATAAACTTCTCGTGACCAATATTCAATTGAGTTCGACTTCTCTCATGGGCTTCTTCATACAAATCTGTATTCGTATCATAAGTCAAATGCTGTGGAGACGAACCTTTTACGTTCGAAATCACAACACGTGTTAATGGTCCAGATGGGAATGTAAGCCAATAGTATAGCCACGATAGATACGCAAACGCAGAATCAATGCTATAAATGAAAATATTTGAAATGTGATCTAGTACGCTCATTACGTCAAATCTAAACGAAAAAGTGCATCATTGATTTTCACGTATATCATCTTCATTCGACTGATAAAGATTTCTTCAAAATTGAAGCGTTACTAATTATTTCAACGGAAAAGGATCGTCGAAAATGCTATTTATACTCATAACACTCTAACACCATTACACATAAAGAATAAGTTTTCATCTACCATGTGTCAAGAAAGAAAGGAATATGCTACACGTTTATTCTATTGACTTTAGTCTACGGTCAGAAAGGTTATCTGTGTGTGAGCAAAAATACGAAAAAATGGCTGTCAGATATTCCATGGATAAGCCAATAACAAGAAAGAAAAATAGAAAATTATTTTTTACACGACAGAGAAAATATTTAAAGAGGTGACTGATTAATAGGCATCTAGCAAATAAGGAGATATCTTTCTTCACACAACATATATTAGAGCAGATTGAAATAGTGCTTTCGTTTCTTTCCCATCTAGATGGGAAAGAAACGAAAGCACTATTTCAATCTGCTCTATTATGTGTAGACATTGCTACATATTTGACGTGAAAAAGAATTTTTCTTTACCACGTTAAACGAGAGGCAAGAGAATAGAAAGATATTTGACACGTTTGTCTACTCCATGTGTGAGAAAAGATATCTCCATATTTGCTAGATGCCTAATAGACCTGCGGCAAATAGCGACTTTCTTTTCTTTTCTTATTCACTTTATATATAGTGTGTGCTCACGTTGCACTGTACGTTACATATATATAACATATATTAGAGTTTTCTCTTTTAGCGTATCTTGATCTTTTTCTTGATGTCGCATACAGATCACCTTTTCTTTTCTATATGTATCCTCATCTCTGACATACACATATCTACATGCGACATCAAGAAAAAAGCGTAAAGATACGCTAAAAGAGAAAACTCTATTAAGACTGTTGTCTGTGTATAATGATCTCACGTTCCTTCGTTCTTTTTCCTCCATATCAGTCGAAGAATATACATCACAGCAAGGCGAAGGAAAACGAAGGAAACTTGTTGCGGACAAACTTCA